TCTTCACAGAAACTGATATATGATGTTACAGTCTCTGTGAGCTCGTCCAGATCGTTTGCAGCAGCTTCAAAAACAGCTCCAATCAGTGCAGTCGAAACAGGCTTGTAAATCCCACTCGGTTTCATTAGTCCATCTTTTTACAGCCCTTAATACAGGTTTAGCTGATTTCAGTTTCTGCCTGTAGGACGGTATAAGATGAACCAAACAGTGGTCAGAGAGCCCTAAAGCTGCCCGTGGGACAGAGTGATATGAATCTTTTATTGTTGTGTAACAGTGATCCAATATATTACAGTCTCTGGTGGGACATGTGATGTGCTGTCTGTATTTTGGCAGTTCACGGGAGAGATTTGCTTTATTAAAGTCCCCGAAAATGATTATAACAGAGTCCAGGTGTTGTTGTTCTGTCTTTGTGATCAGCGAGTTGTTGTAAAGCCAGGCTCACGAGTGCTTGCGGTGGAATGTAAACACTCACGAGTTGTACACTCACAATTACAATTAACAATGGTGTACAATATACATATATACAATGTACACATATGTACAGATATGCACAGTGTTGTATATATAAACAGATAAATAGGTATACATATATACACAGACAGTACTAACATTAGCATCGACAATACAATACGTAAACATAATATACTTAACAACAGGAAATTTACTTATGGTAGGCATATACAGTACATAGTATATATAATGTGGATATGTGTGTTGTATTGTTATATTAATGATATATTTGTGCAACAGTTGTAGTTTAGTTGTAGTTTAGCAGTCTGATGGCCTGAGAGAAGAAGCTGTCCCGCAGCCGACTGGTGCGGGCCCTGATGCTTTTGTAGCGACCTGCCTGATGGCAGTAGTGAGAGGAGACTGTGACTCAAGTCAGTATGATATAACCAACATGCAGGTCATTTTGTTATGTGACAACAAAACCATAAAACAGGAAATGACATCACAGAGAGGACCCCCGTAGACCCTCATAGGGCCTTTCACACCGCGGGAACCTTTTCATAGTACCAGAACTAATTGTGGAACTACCCACTTTTTGGCGTTTTCGCACCGCCAGAACTGGGTGCGGTTTTAGTACCGGACTGCCTTTTTCGAGAACCAAATTAGCTCCTACTCCGGAGCAGGGTCACGTCACTTCTTAGTACACACTGTCGGTGCGAATGCAACCCTTTAAATGGTACTGGGAAATAGTTCGCGCAAAATCGTCCCAGTACTTTAGTACTGTACATTTAGTTCTGGAACTAAAGCGGTGTGAAAGGCCCTCATGATACCGTATGTCACATGTCTTAAGAAAAATCAATATGACCTCTTATGGCACAATAAGTTAGTTCAGCTTGAAATGTCAAAGGAATAACCCTAAAGAAAATGTCAAAATGCATACTAAAAAATGCATCTTAAAAATGACTCAAAACGCAAACTAAAATGTCTTACCTGTCTTAAAAATGTATATTAAAAATGTTTGAAAAAATTCATGAAAATAATGGAAAATTATGATTTAAATGTGTATTCAATGTGCAAACAAAATATGATATTACATGTTACTTGATGGTTACATCATAAGACATTACCATTGACACTTATTAATCAAAATGTCAAAAATATATGAAACCGATGACAGAAAACTTGGAACATTTGTATTTAAACAAGATTTTTAAACAATTGTCAATTCAGACATAGTAATCTGACCTATAAATATATAACCTTAGGTATTCCTTCAAGATAATATCTTTTATAACCTTTCAGTGAAGTGGCCTAACTATGAACTATGTTGTTTCAGTGAACAAACAAATGCAGTCCCTATCATTTTCCCTTCAATCAGATGACACGTTTAGTAAACTCAGTTGGTTTTGTGTGGGTTTGCCTTTGACAAGGATGTGGTTAATACATAAGTGCAACATCAGTGCATGAGGCAAAACCAGGCCGCTTCCGGAAGAAGACTATCATTTTGAAAGAGCAAGAAGAGCTGCAACATGCTACAACTTCTGGTAGGTTAAAGTGCTATAAAAATGGATAAAAATAGGGCCTTCAATCAGGCTGTAAAGGGCATACTAAGCAACCTGCCTTGCTGACTACTGTATGGTTTGGAAAATAACCCTGTTGCACCAGTAGAGGGCGACATGTAGTATGTTTGAACAAGTTCTGTCCTCAGTTACTCCCAGAGGTGTAAAGAGTACCTAACCATACTGGAGTAAAAGTACAGATACCTTACAGTGAAAATTACTCCACTACACGTTACAAGTCACCAATTCCAAAACAACTTGAGTAAAAGTCTTAGAGTACCTGATTTTAACAGTACTTAAGTATTTTACTTATACTAAATATAGGCTCAAAGATGCACTAGTCAAAGAGACATGCCAGTGAAAAACTGTAATGTTGTGGAGAAGCTGCAGAAAATAGGCAGAGGCAAGGATCTCTGTGCTGGTATTTCATGGAAAAACTAGAACAAACAATAAGGCAAAAACCAAAGGGAACAAAGAACAGAATGACTGGCAAACAATTACATTCAACAACTCACAAGGAACTAAAGAAAAACTAGGGCTATATATACACAC